TTTTCCTGAACTGAGCCCAGAAGCCAACCAGAAACTGGAGCATCTCCCACAGGATCGGTGCCCTTCTGCTATACCAGCTTCCATCTGTTGGCAAGCAGGCTGCTGAACTTTACATCCATGGTGGTTTCTGAACCTCCTTCCAGGGCAGTCCTGTGAAGAGCAAATTGTGGTAGTCCAACCCAACAGTTGGGTAGCATCATCCCACCCAGAGCTAAAGATGGGGCCACTGACAGGCTCCTCCAATCAGGGCTTCTGGTCAGCCTATGGCTTCATCCTGATAGGATGTATTGCAACCCAATCCATTCCCATGACTTTCAGACCCAGGGCTTATTCGTGTGAATATAATTTGCTGAGCAACTCAAATTATATTCAAATTGTTAAAAAATTATATTCAAATTAAATTTTAATTCCAGAATTTAATTTCCCAAGGAAGCTCAATGTACATTTATCCTAAGCATCAAAAGTCACACCCAAATCAAGTAGGATGTACAGAATTCATTCTGTGATGTTTTGACAGCAGAAGCAATCCAGACCAAATTAGTCAGTTTTGGAACTGTGTGTGTGTGTGTGTGTGTGTGTGTGTGTGTGCGCGCGCACGCACGTGCACATTAGCCACTCTGAAATCCAGATGTGACAGAACATGCAATGCTTCCTTTAGGCCCCAAAGTTAAGACAGTCCTGGCGTAGCAATGTGACTCATCTCCTATTTTAGAAGGAAACAATGCTTTGCTGGCAAGAGGTCTCTTGCCCTGCTCCCCTAGTGAAGATGGGGCGCAGGGTGGACCATGCTGTTCTACTAACAGCCCTTGCCTTAATTAAACAGATTAAAGAAGCTGATCAGAAAAGGCTTCTGCAGAAGCTACAGCAGCCCTTGGGAGGTCCCCCCCCCTTCTTTTGGGAAGTGATGAAACTGGGGATTTTAAGGGGGGCAGCCCTTCCACTCTCCATGGCCAGCACTGTGACCCCAAGGCCTCCCTGCTGGACTCGGGGTGCTCAGTAGCCCCAAAATCCAGCATGATCCCTCAGCGGGGAAAAAGGTACAGGCAATGCCATCAACATTCCTTTGGGAAATTCTTTCCGGAGCTCATTCGGGAGACAGTCTCTCCACAACCTGACTCTTGCAGTGGGGCTGGTGGTGGGTCCGTCTGACATCCCAGGGAGAGGTCAAGGGGCAATGGGAAGCAGGAGCCGGGATGGCTGGCCAGGGCATTTAAGCGGTTCCCCATCTCAAAAGGCAGATGCTGCTGCTAACGATGGAAAAGGCGAGCTTCTCTTTTTTTTTATTAAAAGTTTTATAAATTTTACAAAAAAGAAAAAAGAATACAAAACAAGAGACAACATATACAAAAAAATAAAACTAAACAATACATATATATATAAAAAAAAAAACCCCACCCCTCCCAAACCCCCCCCCTCCCTTCCCCCCCCCTGAGCTTCCCAGAGCAGAATATAGGCTTAAGAAGTAAAAATAAAAATTAAATTAAGAACTTTATATTTATATATATAAAAAGATTATCTATAATATATATAAAAATAAAACTTATGAAAAAACTATATAATATTTTTGTATACCCAATCTAAATTGTATAAATTTTATCCATTTATCCCAAACAGCAAGAAACTTCTCTTGCGTTTGTTGCTTTAAGAAAGCCGAAATCTTTGCCATTTCCGCCAGATAAGCTACTTTAAGAAACCATTCCTGCAATGTAGGCAAAGATTCCTTCTTCCAATATTGTCCTACTAACAGCCTAGCGGCTGTAATCAAATTTAACATCAAAACAACCTCCTTTGTATCACAATCTGTAACAATACCTAACAAAAATAATTGCGGAGTAAATTTTACCCTCCTTCTAAAAATTCTCTGGATAAAAGCATTTTGGATCAAAATATGGCGAGCTTCTCTTAAGACAGTTGTTCCTCAACCTTGACCATTTTAAGGCATGTGGACTTCAACTCCCAGAATTCCACAGCCAGCGTTGCTGGCTGTGGAATTCTGGGAGTTGAAGTCCACATGCCTTAAAATGGTCAAGGTTGAGAAACACTGTCTTAAGAGCTGAGCTCCGGGAGGCCTTGTGTTGGGCAAGAAAAGTGAGGCAATTTGGAGACCCCCCCAGAAGCCGAAAACGGGCAGATTCTCCACCCAAGCAGGAGCCGCCCCTCTGGGCGGCAGAGACCCCCGGGGGGGGGAGGCTCGGGCCTTGGGCGGCAGCAGCTGGAGCGCTTCCCTCCTCCGCCCCCTCCCCGGCTTTTGAGGGCCGTTTCTGCAAAGGGCGGGACGCGGTTGGCCCCCTGCATCCGTCCGGCTTGGCGGTCACGGGGGACCCCGAGCCAGGCGGGCCATCCCAGGCTGCGGCTCGGTCCGGTCCCTGCGGGGCCTCGATGGGCAAAGGCTGCTCCTCGCAACGCTAAGCGGGGGGAGCGTCCCTGCCCTGCTGGCGGGGCTTCCCCTCCCGGTTACTCGGAGGCTCCCCTCCTGCTGCTGCTGCTCGAACCCAGACCCGGATGGCGGCAGGCGCGACGAGGCCTCTGGGCGGAGATCGCCCCGTCTGCCCCTCGCCCGGCTCAGCTCCGCCGTCCTCGGGGCAGCCGGGCCTGGGGCTCCGCCGCCGAGTCAGCCTCCCCGGGCGGCCCTTCATGCGCGGAGCGTCCCCGCCACCCTCGATCCAGGCCGGGTCTGCCTTCCTGGGGCGGTTCCCGTCGCTCCACGAAGGCCGGCTCGCCCGGGCCAGCCGCCCTGCTCGTTCCGCCCGGGCCCCGAAAGCCCCCAAGCGCCGAGAAGGCGGCCCTTCGAGCCGGGGGGCTTCTCGGGCGAGCCGTGCCAAGCGGGGGCGGCCCTGCGCCGCTCCTGCCTCCCCGCCCGGACTGCGCCGGGTCGCGGGCGAGCGGAGCCGCCTCCCCGGGGTAACGCAGGCAGGGAGAGCGGCCCTGCGCCGAGGCGGCGGGGAGACCCAGGCCCCGCTTTCCTCCTTATGGGGGGAGGAAGGAAACGCGCTTTGCTGAACCTCCCCCCTCCGCCTTCTCGGCTGCGTCGCGGCCGCCCTGCAAGCAGATCTCGCCGCTTCGCTCGGGCGACGTCTGTGCGAGCAAACCGGACCGGGCGCCCCGAAGCCCTCGCCGCCGCCTCTGGGAGGGACTGCGGGGGGAGCCGGGCGGCGATCGGGCCCATCGGCTGCTCCGGCCAGAGGGCTGCACGGAGGGTGGCTACGTCAGCATCTCCGGACCCCGCGGAGCCCCCGGGCAAGAAGGAGCCTTCGCGGCCCTTCCTCTGCCGCCCATGGGGGGGGGGGCAGGACGCGGGTCAGGCGCTCCTGCAGGGATTTCATTTGGGCCCTCCTCAAGAGCGCCCCCCCCCCAGCTTTCCCTCCGCGGGTGGGCAGCTGTACACCAGGTGCTTCTCGGGGGGGGGGGGGGGGACAGCCAGAGGTACCCCGGAGCAGCATGCTGAGGAGGGGGCTCAGCTCTGCCTTGGCAGGCACAAAGAGACATTTCCATTTCTATAGACCTTTCCCCGTGAAGCCTCGGGACACAGAAAGGAAACATTTCAGAGTAGTTGCCTCAATTAACTCCCTGTAGTCTGCCTCAAAATCTATTTGCACCTTTCAAGGTAATATTTTTATCCTGACTGGAATTAAAGATGCCTCTAGGAAGCACATGTGGTTCTAGCTTCTTGGATTTGCCAACAATCTGGGATTTAAGGAGGAGCCGCCCCCCCCCCCAAATGCACATTTGCACAAGTTGTGCAGGCAGAAGTAAAAAACACCTAAAGGAGAAAAGGGCAGCAGAGGGCACTCTGCAGGGGTGGCAGGCAGCTCTCTTGCCCTCAGAACAGCTGGGGGGGGGCTGCTGTTCTGCTGGGGGGGGGCTGCCAGGCCAAGCAGGCCCCGTGGAAGAGCCCTAAGGCAGGCCATTGGCAAGCCGGTTTGGGTGCCTTCTTATAATTGGCTCCATCCTATTGTGCCCTCAAGGTGTGGGACATCTTGGGGCACTCTGAAAACTTAAGTCAGGACTTCCATTAAGCTAGGAATAGGAAAAGGTGTGTGTGGGGGGGTGACTAGGAAACCCTGCACAGATCTTGGCAGCCCCAGAAAGATGGTAGAACATCTGCTTGGTGGGTTCTGTCCTAAGGAGGGTGGGGAGAGTCCTGTGGCTACTCTAAACTGAAAGGCTAAAAGCTTGCCTGGCACAGGAAAGGTAGTTCTGTTTAGAGAGTACCAGCTTGGCAAAGGCCCAAGGCTGAAACTTGGCTTCAAGGAGGAGGCTGTCTGAGCAGTTGTGTCTCTGTGGCAGAAGCAACCAGCCAAGATGGGGGGGGGGACATTCAGGCATCTGTCATCGGCTTTCAAAAAATAGCTCTTTGGGGAGGGTTGGGCTTTTAGTGTGGTGAGCCAAGGCCTCGCTCCTCCAGGGCATCCAAACGAGCTGGGAGTGCACACAGTTGGGGCTTGGCAGAAAGACGGGTCACGGGGCACTTTCTCCTTGACTCTCTCCTGCTTCCTCCCCCCCCCCCGACTTTCTACTGCTATCTCCAAGGACTGCCCCCAAAGGCATTTGATAACCTCCATGGAACTTATGCTTATGCGCAGAGAAGTGAAATTTTAGCTACACTCAGCCAGTTCAGACCATGCCAGCCCCTGAGCTGCATGGATGACTGCCATGCAGACCCCTCCCCACCCCCAGCACTAAAGAAGGAACATCCTGATCGGGCCATGATCAGTCCTGGCATCTTCACCCAGCAAGGTCTGGTTGCTAATGCCCTCCTGGCATTTGTCCTGCAGTGACGTGTAGGTAGAAAGTAGCTACCACGCTAGTAGCTGTCTTGACTTTGTCCAGCACCCACTTTTCTAAAGGCATCCAACTTGGTGGTGATCACTTCTAATGCATCAAGCATGATCCTCCTTGTCTGCAGAACAGGCTCAGCACTCAGGGATTGTTCCTGCGGAGCTGCCCAGAAACACCATCCCAGATTCCTCTTCCATGCGCCATGGAGGGTCCACACCGAAAGTCTTGTGCTGGTAGAAGGAAACATTTCCACATTAGAAGATCCACATTTCCGCATTAGAACCATCTTGGGCTGCCTCAGAAGCAGCCTGGAGACGAGATGGAGTCCAGTCTTGAAGACGCTTCCGTCTTTGTGCCTGCAAGGAGGGGGGCATAGGCAGCTCCCACAAATCACACAGAAAAAAATGGCCATGGGGTCCCCAAGTTATGTTTGTGCAGAGTTCCAGTTCTTATGACCCTGGCACATCCTGGAGAGTCCATGGCCTCGGCCACTCACTCGGGTGCTCTCTTCCTGGGGCTGGAAAGGCTGGCTTGAGCATTGGCCCCAGCAGCACCAAAGGGGGTCTTTTCAATTCTCCCATTCAGCTCATGCCCTTCTCCCAGCACCCTTGTCAAAGACCGGTGCATCTTGGTGTGCCAATGTGGAGAAACAAGAATAACTCTTGGGAAGCCAGGCAGCTCCTGAACTTTCCCAGCTTGTGTTCCTGTGAGGACTCTGGCCACATTCCCACAAAACCAAGTCTGGAACATTGTGAACTAACCCACCGTTTTCACTTACAGAAGGGACACACCCTGTTGTGCTAAAAACTAGTTGGCGAACCACAGTCAGCAGCTTAATGCAACAAAGCAATAACTAAATTGCATAACGTCAAACTTCACGGCAGCCTCACGGGTTGTGTGAACTCACCCTCACCAGACCGGCGGCGGAGCAGCGGGCCCAACCCGAGCTCCCTCCCCGCGCGAGGCGGAGCTGCTCCGGAGCGCCTCCCTGCCCGCCCGCGGCGCCCTTCCAGATGGGCCGGCCCTGCCCGGCCGCGGAGGATGGGAGCCGAGGTCCGCGCCAGTCGGCTGCCTGCTGCGCGCCGGGAGGGCGGCCTGCGGGGGTCGAGGCGGCTGCGCGCTCACGAGCACGAGCCGCGGGGCGGGCTGGCCGAGCGGCCTCGGAAGCAGCTCGCCTCGCCTCGCCGCCCGATGGAGGCTGCCCGGCTGCTGGCGCTGCTGCTGGCGCTGCTGAGCTTCTGCTCCGCGGCCGAAGGTGCGTCTCTTGCGCGGAGCCGGGCCGGGCCGGGCAGTAGGGTAGGCGGGCGGAGCGGGGACCTCGAGCGGGGGCTCCGGGGACGGGACACCGCCAGCTGGCGCGGGCTTTCTTTCATGCTGGCGCTTTTGCCCGCGTTGGGCGCCACTTGCCCCATTCTCACGTGCGGTTTGCACGGGTCTGGTAGTTGGCGCGGCGTGGCGCTTCCCAGACGCGCCCTCGTGGGCAGGTGGGCTGCTCGGCCCGGGGCGGTTGACTTGCGGGTAGCGCTCTGGGCGCAGGGCGGCGGACAAAGCGACGCAGGAAAGAACGGGGTGCACTCTGCACGTGCCCAGAGGCAGCACGCGCGGAAGGCACACGACGACCCCCCCTCACCCGTGGTGAAAGCTCCTGAATACGCATGCCCGGCCCTCCGCACGGGGCGGGGTGGGCAGGATGACGTGCCAGTTTTCCTCCCGAGTCCCCGCCCTCCTCGGCTCGGGATTGGCGCGTCGTTTCCAGGCCCGCCCTCGGCGGAGCGACGGGCCCCTCCGGGGTGATGTCATCCCAGCCGCATCGTTCTGTGGAGTAAACAACCTTGCCCCGCCCCCGGCACGTGGCCTGCCCTGTGGGGCGGGGGCATCCGCGGCGAAGCCCCGCCCCCCGCCCAGCTCCCTGGACCGGCCGCCCCGGAACCTCCAGCCGGGACTGCCGAGCCGCGGCGGGCGGCGCTCTGCGGACCGGGTGGCCTCCGTCCCCGGTTCGGCTGCCTGAAAAGGGCCCGGGCAGCGCCGGCGCCGCCTCTGCCCTCCCTGGGCAACCGTTTGCCTGACGTGGTCGAGGGTCTCTCGCCTTGAGCAGGGGGCTGGACTAGAAGACCTCCCAGACCCCTTCCGACCCTCTCCTTCTATGATTCCTCGGCAGATTCCAGCGCCGCCCCGCCGGGCTCGCCGGCCCTGCCCGCCTGGACGCCCGCCGCCCAGGAGCCGCCTGAAGAAGCCTTCGAGGCCGCGCGGGGCGAGTCGGGCGCGGTGCAGCCGGTGGTGGGCATCAGCCAGAGGGTCAAGACGAGGCCGGGCGAGAAGAAGGACCTGGGCACGCTGGGTGAGCGGCGCGCTTGGGGGGCGTCCCTGGAGCGGACCCCGGTGAGGCTCTCCTGCGCTCCAGTCTTCTCCGGGAGCGCTTTCCGAGGTCCTGGATTGCGCGCGCGCACGCACACACACACACACACACACACACACACACAAACACACATACACACACACACAACCTACCCCTGCAGAGTGGCCGCTGCTGCTCCTTTGCCTGCTTGGGGGGGGGGGCTACAACCTAGAAGGTGCACAGGTTCAGATTGGCGGGGCACTAACCTCCTGGCTGCTTTCTCTTTTCCACCATAGGCTACGTGTTGGGCATTATCATGGTGGTAGTCCTCATTGGCATCGGAGTGGGGATTGTGGTGGGATACCTGTACAAGAGGCAAGTACTGGGGAGCAGCCCTTTATTCCCAGGGGGTTGGGGATGGGGGACATCTAATAAATGGACACTTCAGCCTCAGCATCCATCTTGTCTGGAAAGGAAGTGCGTGTGGGTTACAGGGTGTGTGTGTTTGTGGTTTTTTTTTTTCCTGTTTTAAGGTCTGTTGTGCCTGTGTGCATCTCTCTCTCTATGCAATACTTGCCTTTGGTTAAATCAGTGGTTCTCAACCTTTCTAATGCCGTGACCCCATAATACAGTTCCCCATGTTGTGGTGACCCCCAAGTGGGTGTGGCCACCAATAAGAGGGAGTAGGACAGCTAGGGAAAAGGGAAAAAATGGCGGACAGCGTGGTTTGGCGACCCCCGTGAAATGGTCGTTCGACCCCAAATGGGGTCCCGACCCACAGGTTGAGAACCACTGGGTTAAATAGTTACAGTTTCCTTGAGTTTTCTGAGGTTTTGCATGTGAGGCTCAGACCCACTTTGGTCTTATTCTTAATGCTCCTCCATGCTTTGGAGGTTGGTTTTAGGCAGATTCTTAGTCGGGTGAGGGGTTTTTTTGTTCTCTCCTGAAGCAGAACTTTTGGGAGTTGGTCAGAAACCCACTGCTCTTGCAGCCACTAACAGAATAACGGAGTTGGAAGGGACCTTGGAGGTCTTCTAGTCCAACCTCTGCTCAAGCAGGAGACCCTACACCGGGGTAGTCAACCTTGGCTCTTTTATGACTCATGGACTTCAACTCCCAGAATTCCTGAGCCAGCTATGCTGGCTCAGGAATTCTGGGAGTTGAAGTCCATAAAAGAGCCAAGGTTGCCTACCCCTGCCCTATACCATTTCAGACAGGTGATTGTCTAGTCTCGTCTTAAAAGCCTCCAGTGATGGAGCACCCACAACGTCTGAAGGCAAGTTCTGCCACTGGTTAATTGTCCTCCTTGTTAGGAAGTTTCTCTTGCTTCTCTCCTTAGTTTTGCTAGGGCAGCTACAACTTGCACTCAGAACCTGAAATGTGTCCAGCAAGTCCATCCCAGAGAGGGATCTCTGTATTTGGGAGTGGGGGCCGACATTCTGTGCAGTGCCCCACAGATGGCAAAGAGCCATGGGAGACAGCTCTTATAGTTGGTAGCAAATGAAAATTTTCCATTAAATTGGGTGGGTTGTGTGTGTGCCCCATTTACTATGCAGGAATGGATTGGGGGGAGGTGTCCCTGGCTTATTCCTTCAAAAGGTGGGCTCCTCTCATTCTTCAACTAGCTAAGAGAGTTGCCTGAAGCATTTCGGGGTTATTATGGAGGTTTCTGGAATGGCATTTGGAGAGCCGAGAAAAGCTCTCCCAACTTAGCCTGTGATCTCCCAACAGCAGCCTTTGCCGTTTCTCAGGGGCCATCGAAGCCCAAACGCACGCCCCCCCTTTGGCACTTGCTACAGACAGGGAAGCAGTTGGATCTGCGATGGTTCTGCACCCAGAACACACTTCTTGGGGCACCAGTGCCACGGGGCAGTTCAGGTTTCCTACACTGGCTTGAGAAAAACAACACCTGCTGAAGTTGTAGGTACACACACAGAGACACCCCCATCTCTTCGGTCTCTTCCAGGGGCAAAGATCTAAAAGAGCAGCGGGAGCAGAAAGCCAACGAGCGCGAAATGCAGCGGATCACTTTGCCCCTCTCGGCTTTCAGCAACCCGGCCTGCGAGCTGGTAGAGGAGAATGTCATTGTGGTGCACACAAACCCCACTCCGGTGGAGGAGATTCAGGAGGGCAACACTCCACTCATGGGCCAGGCCGGCACTCCTGGGGCTTGAAGCAGAGGCGCCCCGCTGGACCTCTGAGGCGGACGTCTCTTTGCCTCTCCATTTACCCCAGGCTCCATTTGTATTTTGCTTTTCCATTTGAAGACAGGCCAGCCGGACAGACAAAGCGCCCAGCACCAGGGCTGCCCTTCCAGCCAGCAGCAGCTCTGCAGGGGGCCTGTTTGAGGCCAGGGGCCGGGTCAGACTTTGGGAGGGTCTGCTGCTGCCTCCGTTGCTTTGGTTGTGGGGCCTGCCTGTTGCCTGAGCAGGGCTTTACTGAAAGCGTTTGTGCAAGGATCTGATCCTGCACACATTGTAGCTGCTGAAAAGGCTGTGCTTCCCTTCCAAGTGGCCACGCCATGGCCAGCCCTCCAGTCTGGAGCCAGACAGAAACCCCTCTCCCTGCTTCCGGGGCGGAAGTGGCCAGGCCTGTCTGAGCAAAGGGGAAATGCTGGGGGGCAGCACCGAAGGCCTGGAGATGGAGAATCGCCCTGGAAGGGCTTTGGGTAGGGCTGAAATGGCCGGCCGGTGTCTCTTGTGCCAGCAAGGAAGCAACTCCAGCTATGCTATTTTTTTTAAAAAAAATCTTTTACCACTGAAGGGAGGGAACTGGGACTTGGATGCCAAAAGCCGAGGTTTCTTACAAGTTCTGTTTATGCAGGTTTAGAGATTTTAAAAAATCTTTTAAATGCCTTTGGATACCGTTTATTTCTAAGTGTTTTGAATACCTCATATCTAAAAATAAAACTATTTCAGGTTGTAAGTGTCTTGTTTGGTGGGATTCACCTCGCTGCACCTGGAGGCCCACATACCGCCTCCTTCCTCTTTCCAGGTGCCTCCTGTCCAAGGCTCGGGTCCCCCCCTCAGGTTGCCAATACTCATTCCAGCCCAGGCATTCCCCCTCCTCCCCCATCAAAAGGCTTAGGATTTGCTCTCCCAGATCTTCTGAAGTTCTGGCAGACTCCTTTATAGTCACCAAAGAAAGCCTCCACCCCAAGTTCCCTATTCAAGAGCAGATCTGTTTATCCCCCTTTTAATGTTCTGCTAAAAGCAGCTTCCCTCAATGGGCATTACAAAGAAAAGCAAGTGAATTTGTGCAAAAACACAAGCCCTGCCAGCACAACCACAAACTCAACAGTGCTCTTGTTCTCTGCAATGCAAGTATTGTCAACCCGGAGTAGGAAATGGACCAAACCCCACAAAAAGCCCTTGGGGTCAGCTCCGAACATGGCTTCAAGAAATATCTACTTTCATCTTTCTAGAACAAAGTTTATTGCTTTTAATTTAAACAAAAAAATCTGCTGTGCGCTTACAACAGTTGGGTCACATCTCTTGAACACATGATCCAGATTTCCTGCAGCTGGCCCGTTTATAACGTGTGTGTGTGTGTGTGCGCGTGTGCACGCCCACCTAAATCTGGTCTAAAATGCAGTGGGCTTGGCACAATTACCTAGACCAGCCATATAGGGACCCAGCATTTTAAGTTCTTGAGTGTGAATGGGGGATGGAAGACCCTCCAGATACCACTGGACTACAACGCACAGCATTCCACAATCTTGGGACAAGTGGCCAGGCCTGCCTGCTGGGAGATGTTCAATATCCAGGGGTCTAAATGTTGCCCACCTTTTGGTAGCTCTTAGTGTATTTTGCAGAGGGGAGAGATGCAACCAGCGCAGCTCCCTCTCTGCATCTGGAAGAGGGAGGGGAAAGGCGGCCCCAGCCAGGTGTTTCTCTGAAAGGAGAGGGGCCTGAAATGGAGGACAGAGGTAGTGACTCTATAATGTGCCAGTCTTTCAGGTCTGTGGCCCAGGTTGATTGCTCCACTCCTGGTCAGCTAAGTTTGGGAAGAGGAGCACTTCCAGGGGTCCACCTCCACCAATCCCCTCCCTCAAGTGGAGAAGCTACTCAGTCTAGCCCCCAGCTTTGGTCTTTGGTCCTACAGCCCCTGGGCCACAGCTGCTTGGCCAATAGGGTAGAAAGATGAAATACCATGTAGTGCATAAAGAGTTCTCTGGCCGGACAGATGGTGGTTTGGAGCTGTTGCTGGGAGACAAACTGCAAAATTCAACTGTCTCCTCTGCAGAGGTGTGTGCAAGCAATCCAGGTTGCCCTCCCATTGCCTGGTCTAGCAGAACAGGGCGTCCCAGTCAAAGGCAACGCTAAGGTTTGTATCCTGGCTGGTCTCGGCCTTGTGAGCCCAACCAGGAGGCTTCACAACCTGTAGTGTATTGTGTTAGAAGGCAGGTCCACACCCCGACTCTTGGGAACGGTGTTTCCAAAGACAGAGCATCTGCACTGAGAAGTGAATGGCGCAAAGAAGAGGCTGATGCTTTCAGGAAGCGCCACAAGCTCACGGGAGGTGGCGGTGACGGACAGAAGCACCGAGGCGGAGGAGGACTTCTTCCTGTTGTCACCAAAAGGATGGGACAGAGATTTTTCTGCTGCCTCCAGGACAATCCGTGGAAAGAGGATGAGCAGCGATGGCCGAGCGGTGGGACTATGTCAGACTGCCAGAGTGCTTGTCCCGAATCAGGCCAAACTGCACGCTCACGCTGTGGTCCAGTTCCTCCAGTTCTGAAGGGAGAGGAATGGCCAGTTCTCCCAGGTACAAAGAAAGGGCTTCAAAAGAATCCTCCAGTTTGGAAAACGGGGGCCTAGAAGGGAACGCGGGAGAAGGAAAGGTAGCAATGGGGCCTTCCTGACAGCAGCAGCCATTAGCAGACGACCGAGCATCATTGCAAGCCTTTCTCCAAAACACAGCTGGCCCTAAATTTCCATTCTATGCGAGGTAATGATCCCTTCTGCCCAGCCTCTTAAGCTGTTGAGAAACGCAGCAGAGGATCAGGCCCCAAACCTGAGTCCTCTGCTCTGCTGGGAATGCACGAGGGGCACCTAGTGGACCAGCTACATGCAGCAATGGGGCTGCCTTGCCTCCCATTCCCTCTCCTCAATGGCTTGCTTTCAGCCCCCCAAAGGGAGTAGGGCAGAAAAGGATACCCCCATCCTCCCCCACCTCTGTAGACTGACCTGCTCTCTGGCTCCAGCCTGCAGCAGATGGCTGCCAGAGGGAAGAAGCCCGAAGGACAGTCCACCGGGACAAACTTCTCCCAGTACAGCTTCACGTTGAGGCCAAAATCCAGGGTGCGAGGGAGACAGTCTGGGTCAGCATACACTTGTCCTATGATCTGGAGCAGAACAATTACCCATCATTCTCTTCAGGCACCTAAAGCAGGACGTGTGGCTCAGCTGCCTGCTGCTTCTGCTGACTCAATCATGGTTTCTTCAAGAAAGGCCCCTGAGGCCTAAGCAGGAGGCAACTGCGCGCATCCAAGTACCCCAAGACTTGATGGGAACAGCAGGCTCCCTTCTGACACCCCCTCTTGGCAACCTTCACTGGGTGCCACAGTGTTTATTCCTGCTAGCTTGGCTTTTGTTAAGCAGATCGGCTGCCCCAAGGGTCCCTCCTGACAGGCACTGTTCAGGGCCAGGCAACTTCCCTTCCTCGGAAGATGGATGAGAGGGACTGAACGTAGTTGGAGAAGACAACCTTGAAAGATTTGAATTTCTAGGCCTGTTATTTTCGCAGCCTTTCCCCAAAGTAAGAGAAAATTATATTGGTGCTTCGCTGGAGCAACTACCAGAAAAACCAGCGTAGGTTTTCACTTATGGTAGATATGCTCAAGCCTTAGAAACTGCAGGGAAGGAGTGGTTAGTAGTTACAAAAAAAGAATTCAGAATGGACCCCTGCTGGCTTTGTTTGAAATAAGTCACTGTAGAAAAATTGGAAGTCAGCCACGAGTCCTGTAATATATGGTATGGCGCCCAGAGTTTTCTCTGAGAGAGAAGGGTGGTTAAGAAATACAAAATATAAACAAATAATAATCTTTGATTTATCACGAAGGTAGAAAAGGACAATCTAAACCATATTTTTTTTTGACCCAAGCTTTTAATGATGAAAAATAAATTGCAGTCAAAAGCTGTCAGTTTGTTATCCCTGGATTCGTTATCTCTGATATGGGAAGATATGTGCTAAAAATTGCAGTTACTGTGCAGTGGATTAGATTATAAATTACCCATCATTGGGTAATTTTATAATCTCTTTCTAAGAAAAAAATTGAAATGGAAGAACTATTTGTATGCTTCTAAGACAGTGGTTCTCAACCTTTTTAATGCCGCAACCCCCAACCGGTCGTAAGTCGAGGACTACTCAACCGGTCGTAAGTCGAGGACTACTCAACTGGTGCAGCACCGTTTGCAGAATGGGACTTTTGGCGGGCTCAGCAGGGCAGAGACAGCCTGGACAATTCCTATTGGCTTTTGAAAGCCAATAGAATGAGACTCTATTCAAGAGAGTCTATTCTATTGGCTTTCAAAAGCCAACAGAATAAAAGGGAGTAGCACAGCTAAGGAAAAAGGGAAAAAAATGGCGGACTGCGTTATTTGGCGACCCCTGTGAAATGGTTGTTCAACCCCAAATGGAGTCCCGACCCACAGGTTGAGAACCGCTGCCCATTGACCAAGAAGGTCCGACTGCCAGCCCACTTGGGAAATCCTGATGGTAAGCCATTGGGCCAAAAGACCCCAAGCGATTGCGCAAGTGTTAGCCAACTGGGGTGACTGCAGTCCTTGGCCGGGAAAGGCCGGCTGGCAACTCCGTTCTTAGATGAACAGCCCAAACCAGAGACAAACAGACAAGCCCACTTTTGTGGTTGACCCCTGAATCTTCCTTTAAACAGTCCAAAACAGTGGTTCTCAATCTTTCTAATGCTGTGACCCCATAATACAGTTCCCCATGTTATGGTGACCCCCAACCACTCATACATCACTGGGTACCAGGGGCGTGGCCAAAGAAAAGGGGGGGAAAATGGCTGACAGCCTTGTTTGGCGACCCCCGTGAAATGGTCGTTCGACCCCAAATGGGGTCCCAACCCACAGGTTGAGAACCACTGGTCCAAAAGGCAGTCCACGCCCACCCTCACTTTTTCTCTCTAGCCCTGGCAGCACAGCCTTTACAGGAGGCTGGCTGGTGAAATGCTAAGGGACACAAGCCTCAGGTTCCCAGGTGTGGGTCCCTGGCATTTGTCAGAACAGGACTGATTCTCAAGCCCCCCTCCACCACCAATCCCCTCAATGGGCTAAGCTTACCTCGCAGAGCACTATTCCAAAGGAGAAGATATCGACCTTCTCATCGTAGCTCTGTCCTGCAAGAATCGAAAACAGCCAGGAGGGGAGGGTGCATCAGTAAAATAGAGAAAATAGGGATGGAAACCAACGCAGGGCTGGGGGTAACCAGACACAGAAGGGAGCGTGGAAGAACAGGGGCGTCCTGCAGGGTGGGGGCAAGTATCCTGTTTGGGTCCAGCTGCTGAAGAGCCCTGGGAACTTCCACAGGACATCCCCACTCAGCCTGCGAGGGGAGGACGAGGAAAGAAAGAGCTTCCTTGTCAGTACCAGGGCACCCCTTCCGGAAGTCACACTCCCCAAAAGAACATCAGGCCCAGATGTGCTTCCCCCACCAACCGGGGAGGGGTGGGAAAAGAGGAGAAGGGAGGCAAGGCCTGTCAGCCTTTGAGGTGGTCCAGAGAAGAAGGACCCATAGGAGCGCTAACATGACTTCTACTGTAAGGCGACAGTAACACAATCTTGCAAGTGTGACAGCATTGTCCCCCCTCCCTTACTCTTCCCTTCCAAAGAACGAGGGAGGGCCCCTTCCAAGAAGCTTGCTCTGCCCCCCCCCCCGTCTTTCCTTGGGCTGAGATAACGCTTGTCAGACGCTATCCTGACTGTGGCTCTACCTCCTAGTATGCAGATCATTGCTGCATACCACTAGGCGGTCCTCGACTTACGACCGATTCCTTAGCAACTGTTTCACGTTAGGATGGACCTACCTTGGGGCTACTTATGACCTGGATCTGAAGTTCCAACAGTCCCCCCCCCCCTCCAGCCACATGAGTGAACTTTGGGCACTCGGCAACCAGGTTACATTTACAGTTGTTTGCAGCATCCCACATTTACGTGACTTGTGTTTTACAACCGTTTTGCCAAACACCAGTTTTTCAGCAAAACTGCACCCACAGCAAACCACAGTTTCACTTAAGGACCACTACAAAAAAGATCACACACTTTCAGGCTCCATTCCGGTCTTAGGGCAAGGACCACCTGCGCAGAGCCCACGAGGGGACAGACAACCACTGCCAAAGGCACACAACCAAGAGAGACCTCAGCCCGGTGGCTGGGCTCCTCTGTGGCCTCAGGAGGAGGGGGGCTCCTACCATTCAGCATCTCGGGGGCCATCCAATACGGGTTCCCCACCACAGTGTAGCGCTTCCTCCGGTCGCTCTTGCGCAGCGTCCGCTTCTTGGCCAGGGGCTTCTCCAGGGAGGGCCTCTTCCTCTCCTCCACAATCAGCCGAGAGAGGCCGAAGTCAGCAACCACCACCGTGTTATCCTGGGCCAAAAGAAGGCGAAGCAAAATCCACAAGAATTAGGAAGCCATGCGGGGAAGGCCTGCACCATTTGGGACGGAGGAAGGCTGAGGGCAGACACCGCTGTGCCACGCTCTGGGGACCCATTTCGTGCCCCGCCTGGGGGCACAAGAGCTCCCCCCCGTCTCTTCTCCAGGCAGCTCCTCTGGGGAGCCAGAACACCCCTTGGCCCTTCCGGCCTTCACCCCACTGTCAGCGGTTCTTGGGTTCTCAGGCGTGAAGGCTTTTCAACTGTATTGACATTAGATTTGTTTTATCCAAGCGCACATAAAACAATGAAAAAATCTCCCGTTTAGGCCTTCTCCATTCATTGGTCCTCAAAGAATTTTACAAGTTTTGTTTGCCTTAAAAAAGCAAAACAAAAGGGGGATATCAATCTGGGACCCTGAAATAGCAAAGGATGACCTCTGATATTCATCATTTTTCAGGGGTTTCCAAACTTGGCAGGATTAAGACTTGTAGACTTCAACTCCCAGAATTCCTCAGTCATCTATACCGAGCTATGTTGGCTGAGGAATTCTGGGAGTCGAAGTCCACAAGTCTTAAAGTTCCCAAGGTTGGAGACCCCTGATTTATATCTTCCTTGAGTTGTTCAATTAATGAACGGGCTTTGATTCATATTCAATATTCTCAAGGGAAGTGATTGCGGGCGAGTTTGCCATTGTTCAGAACAGCCATTCTCCCATTCAAAGTGGGATCCATAATCAAATTAGTTATAGTAACAATCAGATTGATTGGCATTCATGCTTCTCAAAGACTAAAGCACCCTATTAAAGAGTTTCTTCTTTTCTGGAGACAGGGATCCCCAAATTCATTATCAGTCGTAAAACAATTCCTCAATGGTCAAATATTTATTTTGGGCTCAGCCCCAATCAAGAAGTGGGTTCTGGCCATTCTTGGGTACTCTTTGCTATTAACAAGAGAGGAATTGAGTTGCTGCAACCTGCTGACACATTAATAACACTGTCCTGGGCGCCACTCTAATGGTTGGCGCATTATTAGGTGTGTTTTCCAATTGTGAGACCTTTGTGCAAGTCCAACCTGAGGCAGGTGCCTCCCCGGGAAAGAGGCAGGACCCCCAAAGGGCCCCCAGTCTCCTAGAACTTTGGCAGCTGAGCAGGAAGCAGACCTGGCCATGCAAGCACTTACCAGTTTGATCAGGCAGTTGTGGGAGTTCAGATCTCGGTGAATGATGCGCATGGAGTGCAGGTAAGCCTGCAAGTGGGAGAAGCCAGAGGTGAAGACAAGGCGCTATTAGTCTCGATGCTCAGCCTCAGCTGCTGCCCCGGGAGCCTTTGGTGCTGGCTTCTGAGCAGCCCAAGGGATGGGGGGGACAGCACAGCCCAAGGGCTACCTTGGCCCCTGGAGGCCTTCCATGGGAGGGGCGAATGCCTTGGGCAGTGTTTCCCAAACTTGACAATTTTAAGGCATGAGGACTTCAACTCCCAGAATTCCACAGCCAGCAACGCTGAAGTCCACATGCCTTAAAATTGTCAAGTTTGGGAAACACTGCCTTGAGGCAAGGCTGCTGGAGAGTCAGAGGAGGGAGCAATCCTGCACCAAGAAGAGCCCCAAGGGCTGGGGGTAGAAGCTGTGGGGCTGGGTGATGGACTAAGACTGAGGACTCGGATTTTAGTCCTCATTGGACCTAGCCTTCCTCATTAGATTACAGCAGGGCTAAAATGCAGGCAGATCTCATTCTTTGTGCTTTGAACTTCCAAGAAAGGTACCACAAGGCAACCAACTCTTGCGTCATCCTCGCTTTGGAAAACACATGACTCACTCAACCTCAGGTGCTCCCCCAGGACATTCCGTGAGTCCAGACCAGTTTCAGCAAACCGTCCAACCGCAGCTGAATGGGCTGGCCATCCGCACTCTCCCCTCTAGGCAATTCACCCTTGTCCCTCAGACACGCCCTTCGCAAGGCCAGGAGGGGGTCCGGGAAGGAGGCTCACCATTCCGGAGGCAATTCCTTTGGCAAAGCTGACCTTCTGCTCCCAAGGAAATGGATCCTGCAAGGAAAAAAGGGTCCCTTCGTTAACTTGTCTTCAAGGCAGGGAGGGATGCCAGGGGTTTGGCCAGCCTGGCTCAGCTTGGAAACCTCTCCCTTTCCCCTCAGCATGGCTGGCTCAGGAATTCTGGGAGTTGGAAGTCCACAAGTCATAAAACAGCCAAGGTTGCCTACCTCTGGCCTAGGCCTAGGCCGCTTTATGATTCGTGGACTTCAACTCCCAGAATTCCTGAGCCAGCATGGCTCAGCTTGGAAACCTCTCCCTGTCCCCTCAGCACGGCTGGCTCAGGAATTCTGGGAGTTGAAGTCCACCAGTCATGAAGGGGCCATAGTTCCCCCATGCTGGCTCAGGAATTCTGGGAGTTGAAGTCCACGAATCATAAAAGGGCCAAGGTTGCCTACCCCTGGTCTAGGTAGACCAGCCAGGAAACCAACTCCTTGGAAATGGGTTTTTTATCGGAATGGGTTACCAGAACAGAACCTTGCCAGTGAATTAGAGAGGAGTCCACCTGAGCCATTTCTGGATGGTACGTTGTTGTTCTGGACTTCCAACGGGCTCCAGCCGGTCCTGCCTAGCCCCACCTAGGCCACCTTCCCTGGTCTCCGTAAGGGCACACAGGAGGCCTAGAGCAAATGGGCCGGATCCAGGATTCTTGCGGTGAAGGGTGCAAGTGACTCAGTTTTCCTTTAATTAAGTGGGCATTTTGTGATTGTCAATGCCAACTACGTCATCCATCTTGTAAAAGCTCCAGGATTTGCCTTCAAATTTCACATAGCCCAGAAGGGCTACCCTTATTCTAAAATGAATAATTTGAAAGGGAGCAAAGCCATAGCAGGTGTTGGTGGGCTAAGCCAAGGTTTGTTGAAAAAGTCACCGCTGCCCTGCTTAAGCCAGAAACGAAACCCTTTTTTCAGGATTCACGAGCCAGCCCTGGGGCGGGATTGCATTTCGTGATGTTTTGGCTGCGTCTTTCACGAGGACCTTCTTTCCCCTGGCCCAGCCTACCGAGGCTGCAAGAGACGGCACCCACCGCATTCCGGAGGAAGTCCTTCAGAGTCCCCCCTTCGATGTACTCGGTGAGAAGATTCAGCTTCTTGTCCTTGTACAAGACCCCGATGAACTTCAGGACGTTGGGATGCTCCAGGCTGCGCATCACTTTCACCTGCAAGAGAGAGAACCTCCCAAGCTTGAAACAAAGTGAAGCTGTTGCCTCTCCCTCAGAGACCCTGCTTTTGCAACCAAAATAACACCAAAATAAAAGCAGCTAATGTCCAAGATCTAAGTCACTTTCCTCTGGCTGGGCCTTAAGCCACAAGGCTGCTGAAAGGAAGTGCTGTCCAGTGCCTGGACATCTTCAAGGCAGTCCTTTCCAGAAACGGTACTCACCTCGGTTAGGAAGGTCTTCTGTGTTTCTTCATCACAACGAATCAGTTCCTTCATCACCATCACCTTTCCTGTGGCTTTGTGAGTCACCTGATGAATAGAAGAGCGTTACATCCATTTAAGAAGGAGGAGGAGAATAGTTGGGGTTCTTCTAACTTTGCCCAGTTGAATCACTTTTAATTCCCTGTAATTCTGCCTGGAGCCCTGGAAAAAAAGCCCATCCGCAGGTTGATGAGGGATAGGAAGGAAGCCAAGCCTGGAAGCTGAGGAAGTTCTTCCCTCCCATCAACGGCTAAGCACATCATTTCCTGCTGTGACCAGGGTTTCCTTCTGCTCCTCCAAGATTTGAAAGTGTTGCTCCATGGTGGAGTCAAGATCTCCAGCAAGTGACCTGCTGCTAGGGCTGCAGACAAAACAACAAGCAAGGGAGAGATTCAACGTGAACGTGGTCAAGAAAATCCAGGGTGGGCTGGCACTGGGGAGAGCGTCTTCCTTTCTGCTCTTCAACTACAGGTTGCCCCGAGTGAGCAAAGATGACTTTACACTTTTCAAGCTGAAAATAAAACAGGTCCTATGCTTCCTTCCAGGGAGCCTTCACCAGCAAGCACTGGTGTGTCTGTGTTGCACTGACACTCCCCACGGCTCTGGGCACAGGGAGGCCTATGCTGCTCCTTGGCTCGTGGGGTGCACTAGAAGACTTTCAAATGCCTTCACGGCCGCAAAAAAGGAAATAATTTGCTTTCTGCTTAAAAACTCCTCTTTCTACCATCCACACATGGGGGTACTTTTCACACTAGGACTGGTGGCACTCATAACAGGAGCATGGAAAAGAATTTATAGCTCGAGCGTTATTATTTTGCCTAAGAGCTCCTCTTTTTCTGTTGGGTTGGCTGGTTCAGCTCAGCTAGGAGGCCAAACCGGCCAGAAAGCTCCAGTTAGTTCTGGATCTGGAGCTGCACAGTGAGCATTTGCCTTCTGAAAGCAGCCTTTGTAAAATGCCCTGACAATCTATGGAACTTGAGTTCTCTCCACTCTGATTCCCTCCCTCTTTCCTGCACCCAGAGGCCTGGGCAAGCCAAGTGCTTTCCTAATGAGCCTGAGCATCGTGCAGAAATAATTATGTTAAAAGAAGCCTTTGATTCAAGGACCTTTATGCACCAAGGCACACCACAAATTCCATTAGCCAGAAGAATTTTCCTAGAACTTGGAGAGAAGTCTGTAACCTTTCATCCAGTAGCTTTTTGCCAATGTTATTTGCATTCACAGTGCCTATTTGGCTATGCACTTATTTTTTTTTTTTAAACAGCTGTAACACAAGCTGGGAAAGTTTGTAGGAGAGTCTTTCCAAGGAGCTCGAGCTACAGCAACAGCGACATTTTTCGCCTAGGACAGTGATGGCGAACCTACGGCACGGGTGCCAGAGGCGGCACTCGGAGCCCTCTCTGTGGGCACACATGCTGTTGCCCCCAGCCTTGCCTCCCCCCGCAACCCCCTCCTCACCAGCAGCCCCCCTGGAGGAGAGTCGCCCCCGAGCATGGCCCACACGGAGCAGCGCAGCCAAGAACATGGCAGCCAGGCAGCGTAGACATGACTCTGCCCTCACGCCCCATCACGCACAGTTGATGCTGCGGGGTGTGGGCAGAGGGCGTGGCCGCCTTGGCGCTGCCTGGGTGATCTGTGGCGGGCCCTGGAGGCGGTGAGTGGCCCTGCGGGCAGGCGGGGTGGGAGCGGGGTCAGTTTTTGGGCACTCGGTCTCTAAAAGGTTCGCCATCACTGGCCTAGGATGTGTGAAGCTGGTGGAGACCAAAAGCTTCTGCACTGCTTCAGAGACTGTTGCAAGTTACGACAAGGTAGAAGACTGCTCAAGCCACAAACACGTTCAGCAAACAGCAGAGCCTGGTGCAAGCCAGGCCCTTCCACCACATCCCAGCAGCCTCGGAGTCAACAAGGCAGACAAGCGTCGACAGCCCAGGGAGGGGACCTCGGACCATCTTGTTATACCCCGTGTTTAGGACCCACTCCAGACAATGAAGACAAGTTTAAACTCATCTCAAAATTCCTTACAAAGGACCGAGGACTCAACCTGCATGAAAATCCACCATGAAAGCCTGTTCTCCAGCTTGAACAAAGTATTCGTGATGAGACGATTAGGTGCGACCTCTTTATTAAATCACCCTCATATTGTAGGTTTACATCTGGTTTTATTGAAGACCCTCTGGGGGAAATTAACCAGTTATATCAGTTGGAACCTTCTTATCTAAGAGTTTATTTTAAAGACTCTGATTTACAGGCACTGGTAAATAAGCCACCATGCTTTGACACAGCTTCTCTAGAACTAGGGGCTGCTATATTTGGATTACAAGCTATGAGTGATAACATCTGTTTGCCTCAGGTTGACAACATAATTTCACTTGTCACAGACTTCAGGGTGGAATGTTCTACAGCAGACCAATTAGCTGGGTGCCATTCATGTAAAGGAATACAATCAAAGAAATGATTGCAAATGCAAAGTGAGGCAAAGTTTAAGCTTTTCAAAGGGCTTCACTGCTCTTCAAATTCTTCATGATGAGGAGGCTGCTCGTCAAATTTGCAGGATGTGTGGTGGGATGTAGTAAGGAGGTGGGTTCCTAAGAGGGAGAAGGTGCTTTCCAGAGAAATAAGAGGCCACTCAGCCCACATATCATGTGTGAGAGAAAGAGGATGAAGATGACCCCTCCTTAATAGTTCCCAGAGTGTTTGGTAGATGCAGATAGTAGAGTCCTTGGCCTGGTGAGATTTTGTCTATAGGTGTGAAACAATAAAAAAACTCAGCTTGGAAGAATCACCATGTGTTATTCTGATAGGATAACACAAAGCCTGGGGGAATTGCTAACATTTTGGAAGGTAGACTCAAGATTCTTAAGGATCTTGTCAGACTTGAGCATTGGGCCCCCTCCGACAAGAAAAGTTTAAGTCCTCACTTAGGCAAGGAAAAACCAAATGCTCAGGTATAGAATAAGCAGCCCCTTGCTCAACAAGTAACTGTGAGAGAGATCTGGGTGTCCTAGTGAATCATCACTTAAGTATGAGTCAGCAAAGTGCTGCAGCTGCCAAAAAAACCAATGCAGTCCTAGACTACATCAACAGTGGGATATGATAGTACCACTCTATACTGCATTTGGCTACACTTGGAATTCTGCACCCAATTCTGATGTCATAATAGAAAAAAGATAAGAGGCTCTAGAAAGAGCGCAAAGAAGAACAACAAAGGTGATAAGGCCAGTGTTTCTCAACCTTGACCATTTTAAGGCATGTGGACTTCAACTCCCAGAATTCCACAGCCAGCATTGCTGGCTGTGGAATTCTGGGAGTTGAAGTCCACATGCCTTAAAATTGTCAAGGTTGAGAAACACTGTGATAAGTGGTCTAAATCCTATGAAGAATGGCTAAAAGAAGACCTGATAGCCCTCATCCAGGCCTTGAAGGGTTTTCACAGAGAACAAGAGGTCATTGTATTCTCCACAGCACTTGAAGGCAGAACGAAAAGCAAAGGATGGAAGCCAATTAGAGAGATCTAATCTGGAAACAAGAAGAGGTTTCCTGACAGTGAGACCAGCTTGTCTCCCGGAGTTGTGGGTGTTCCATCCCTGGAAGTCTTCCAGAAAAGACTGGAAGACCATTTGTCTGGAATGATAAGACTCCTGCCTTAGGCAGAGGGTTGGACTAGAGGACCTCCATAGTCCCTTCCAAGGCCTACTCATCTAGGATAAGGGGTTTGAGGGATCCAACAAAAGGCTCAAAAGCTGTATTAAAAACTTATTCAAAAAAGGAAATAACTTACAGCACTGGATTGTCAGCAGAGTGCCCAGTTTAGTTTTTCTAAACAGAATGTTTATGAACAGAGGAACAAAACTTCAAAATTAATGGCAAATAAAGCAAAAGAAAAATTTAAATGTTGAGAGATGCTAGCAGGAGTAGGCAACAAATCTTTTAATTCTTTTGTTAATTTTAATTCAACTGTCTATACCACAGACCACATGAATAAGGAAATCCCAGTTACAAAGGAGAGATATAAGAAACATACCCAAGATCCATAAAGGACTCAAATGCCTATACACAAATGCTCAAAGTTTAGGGAAAGAAACAGGGTGAACTTGAAGTATTAGTACCCGAAGGCAGATATGATATAGTTGCCATTACTGAAACATGTTGGGATGAAAGTCGTGACTGGAATGTATTCATGGAAGGATACAAACTATTCAAAAGAAAACAGATCTAATGAAAGAGGAGGTGGAGTTGCATTATATATAAAAGATCACTACATCTCTACAGAAATCCACAAAACAAGGATGAAAATCTCCTAGAATCCATATGGGTCAATATAAAAGGAGGGAAAATGACATTACTATACTACAGGCCACCCAACCAAGCAAAAGAAATAGATAAACTTTTTGCTAACCAACTAATAAATGTATGTAGGAAATACATCACAGTAGTAAAGGAAGATTTTAACTAGCCTGATATCAACTGGGAGACAAATTCTGCAGCAAGTGGGAGATTGAACAGATTCCTAACCAACTTAGTGACAACTTGGTCATCCAAAAGGTGGAGGAGGGAACTAGAAGTAAAGCTGTACTGGACCTAATTCTTACTAATAGAGAAATGATAGAGGGAGCTGAAGTTGCCGGAACTTTGGGCCAGAGTGACCACGTCATGTAGGAATTCAATATAATGCAAATACTAGCAACAGTGTCTTAAAAGAGCTGATTTTAACAAACTCAGAGAGAGCCTAAGAAAAATTCCATGGATGAAAATCGTAAAGGGAAAACAACTCAAGAAGCGTGGGAAAGTCTGGAAAATATGATCATAAAAGTCCAGTCTAGCACAATACCACTGAAAAAGAAAAACAAGAAATCCAAGAAGAAACTAGCATAGTTGTACAAAGATCTCTCTGATAAACTGAAAGACAAAAAGGACAAGTATAAAAAACAGAAAGAGGGACACGTAACTAAGGCAGAATATCAGTGGATAGCAAACATGAAATCAGGAAAGCAAAGGCTCCAAATGAACAGTCTTGCAACAGAAGTCAAAGGCAGTAGAGTAACAGGCAG